CAGCTGCAGCAAACACACACCCACAGAAGTATAGTGAGCCTTTAAACCACACATTATCAGTACAGGAGAGAGACACACATCCTACTTCCTTCCTGAATGAAGGATTTGTACGTGGGTGTGAGAACAAGGACATTTTACTGGCTCCTGGAAGTCAGCAACCATTTAAAATATTTTTTTGGAAGAGACAGCAGAGAAAAGGAAACTGAAGAAAACCATGACAACCAGTCAGTCCACCTACCCACACCGCCCACCGGCTTCATTTGCTGACGCATAAAAAAAAAAAAAGCCGAAAGATCTCAAGCTGTCTGTACCAGCTTGGGAAGGTGAGCAAGCCCTCAGAGCTCATTAAATTCCTTCCTCAGCTCCTCTTATATGCCTGCAGCTACTGAGCAAGTTGAATATAAATAGAAGTTATATAACATCCTTGTTGATTCCTGTGTTAAAAAAAAAAAGTAGCATGACCTTGTTTAAAAAAGCCTGCCTCTTCCTGCTTATCAAGGACTTTAATCCTTATAAGGATTAGCCTGAAGCCACCTGTAGCTGATTTACATGCTAAAAGAAAGTTACACTAAAAAGAATAATGCCATGTGTTGTTCTGTCCTGATTTTCTGGGATGCTCTAAAATCTGTATATAATTTCCTGGGCAAATCTCATCTCATGAAGCCGTTTTAACAGCCTGGAGAATTGCATTTCATTTATACCTATGAGGCAGAAAACTGGACTATGATTTCCATTTGTAGCAAATGTATCAAAAACTAAAAAACTAAAGCTAAAATTGAATAGATTTGCTATAATTTCTCCCACCCCTTTTTTTTACACTCTTAGTATCTTGTTCGATCCTTTCTCCTCAACAGCCACATATGATAATTTGACTACCCATCTACTGGAATGTTACCTAGTTGGTTTGGTCTGTACATGAAAGTCAGTAGAGGTTTCTGGCTCATCCTGAGCTTCTGCCTAAGGAGAGTCACGCTGGCTTCTGGAACTGAGTCTGCACGCTGCTCCGTCACCCAAATGCTATGTATGATCCACCGGTTCTACCTACAGTATTACGGAAGTGGACAATGCATCAGAACAGGAGACCAGCAGACTGTACAACTTGGAGTAACTGTGCTTTTATTAGGTTGCAAAACAGCTCTCTAATAGTTAAGTGTGGGCCAAGGGCTGGGGGGGGGGTAAGCACCGTAGTTGGTTTTCTATGTATAGAGGTAAGAGGAAGAAAGGGAATATGGATAGAATTTTTAAAATATTTTAGAACAGAAGAGGATTGAAAGTTGCTTAAATAACACTCCTTCCTTCTTTCTCTTACATTTTTCTTATCTCAAGGTCTAGCAGCCTTACTCTGCTGCTGCAACTCCACTACTCCAAATTATTAACCTCTCATTTCTCTCTGGCTCCTGTCCTTCTGCAAAGATTCCACTGTCATCTTTATTTTCAATAACATCATCTATTAACCCATACTCTTCAGTTACCCTATACTTTCACTTTAACTTTCTGGAATCTGCTGCTTAGTTTAACTGTCTTGACTTTCCTTCCTCTAACTCTGGCTTTGACTATCTCCTCTCTGATTTCCATTGCCTACACTTCTCATGAAAACCAATAATTTCCCCTCTGACAAAACAAGGTACTTTTACTCTCTATGACCTTTTGGCTTTGATATGATTTATTACTCTGTCCTACTTTTAAGTTCTAGTCTCTACGACTCCAATCCTAGGTGGTTCTATTCCTACCTGTTTAGTTTATCTTTTTATGTTTCCCACTTTAAACTAGATGTTGGACAACTTGTTACAATATGTAACAAAAATTACACATTCTTTTAAAATATGGTATAGCTCGAGGATTCAGGCTTAAATATGGAAAACTCGGTGATGAATAGATTAGCAATCTTATGAAGTCATTAATTTTGAATATAAGTACCCAGGAAATTGGGAGCTGATTCTTGAGCCAAACCTGCAATATTTCAAAACAATCAGTTTGTCTAAAGATTTCTAATATAGAAAGATGTTTAACTAAGTATCCACTCATATTGTTTTCTGAGGACTCAGAACTGCACAGAGACCTTATCTTGGAAGCTGCACACGAGCCCCATGTGTTTACTTCCTCAACTGTTTCTGCATGAAATCAGCTTGATCGGTTTTCTGTTTTCTTAAAAATAAATTACTACTTGTTTCTAGAAATCAGAGATTTTAAAAAATTCATAGTCAGTGACTTATGTGAAATGATCTTCATTGGATTTGCTGACTTTCATGCTTTAGGTCAAGGGTGGACAATGTGTAAGACTGTACAGATTTTCTTTGCACCTCCCAGGTTCTTTGTCCCTCTTGATTAAACTTTCAAAAGATAATTTTAATTAACAAAGCACCAATTTCTAGCATCATCTTGATTTACAAGAATGCCTTTGGATCCCGCACAGATAATAACATTGGATTTGCTCCAAGCTGGACTCTGGCCTTGAGGCAGACCCTGTGGAGGTGACTGAGATTCGGTCTGGCCTGGTTGTCTGGGATGAGCTTGATCTTGTTGGTCCTGATGAAGAGGACAGGGTTCTTGGAACTGTTAGATTAACCACCTGTATATTGGACACATATCACTCCTGGTTAGCCAAGTCTTCCTAAGAAACAACATGTGGCTGGATCCTGGTGGGTGTGAATTCATCCTTGCTTAAAGATTCATCCTACTTAAAGAGGCAATGGTATACCATCTCTTCAAGAAGGTATAGCTGGATTCAGCCACTTTTGGATAACTTTTTTCCATCTCCAAACTTGCCTTTTTGGAGAAGATTGCTAAAAAGGTGGACATGCAGCAAATTCAGAGAATCCTGGAGGAAACAGATTATCTGCACCCTTTGCAGTCAGGCTTCAGACCTGGGCATGGGATTGAAACAGTATTGAGTGCACTTGTGGATGACCTCTGATGGGAGCAGGATGGGCTTATGCATCCATTCTGGCTCTTCTTGATTTCTTAGCAGCTTTTGATCATGGTATCTTTCTGGCCAGCTCTGGGGACTAGGAGTGGGATGTAGTTTTGTGCAGGTTCTCCTCCTCTCTTCAGGGTCAGTTCCAGTCAGTGTTTATGGGGGAGGGGGAGAGATCTAGTCCATGACCCTTCTCTCTTTGGTCCCCCAGGGCTCAGTGGTTTTCCCACTCTTATTTAAAATCTACATGAAGCCACTGGGTAAGGTCATCCGATGACATGGGGTGAGATATTATTAGTATGCTGATGATACCCAGCTTTCTCTGCCCTGGGCCAAACAAGTGATGCTATGCAGGTTCTGTCTCACTGTCTGGAGAATGTAGGGTTCTGGATGGGGAAGAACAGGCTTAGCCGAACCCTGCCCAAACTGAGTGACTATGTGTTTTGGGGATCCAGGTTCTTCCATCTTTGGTTCTGGATGGAGTTGCACTAACCCAGACAGAACTGGATGGAGTTGCACTAACCCAAAGAGAACTGTTATGTAATTGGGGTGTCCTCCTGAACTCAAGACTCCTGTTTAAAGAGCAGGTGGCAGCCATGGCCAGGAGGGCTTTTGTACAACTTTGTTTTGTGTATCACTTGCAGCCCTTCCTGGCACTGCTCATGTCACACATGGCTTAGTCACCTCCAGATTACCACAAAGAGCTCTACATAGGGGTGCCCTTGAAGACCATTCAGAAGCTGCACCTAATCCAGAATGTAGTGGTGTGGACAGTTATGGGCACACCTCAGTATGCCACGTTACACCTCTGCTTTGTGAGCTGCACTGGTTCCAAGTGTGCTTTCAGATGGCATTCAAGGTAGTGGTTGTCACTTATTAAGCACTCCATGGCATGGGGTTGGGTTATTTTCAGGACTGCCTCTGATTGTTTCTACCTATCCCACTATGACAGGAGAGGCACACTCCGGGTCCCTTCAGTTAAATGTCATCTTATGGGACCTTGGAAGCATGATTTTTCTTTGCAGCGCCTGAACTTTGCAACACCACACCACCTAAGATCAGATTGGCCCTGATCCTGCTGGCCTTTTGTAAGGTGCTGAAGACCTGGATGTGTTCCAGGGCCTGGAGATTGGGAGGTTAGATGGCCCATTGAAAAGTTTCTGTCTATTGTTTTGTTGGGTTCATCCTCAGTGACTGTTGTTGCTTTTAAAATTCCTTGCTAATATTTTTTAGTGTTTTAATGTATTGTTATCAACCTTTGCGAGATGGGCACCATATAAATTGAATGAATGAATGAATGAATGAATGAATGAATGAATGAATGAATGAATGAATGAATGACACACTCCTGGTTTCTAGCCTGGTGCCTTCGTGTTCTAGACCTGCCTTGGGTACCAA